TGAGATTTGCGAGCCATACAGACAAGAACTTCACCACCATCGTTGTTCAGCACGACGTTGGTGGTTTGGAGGTTAAAACCAAGGATGGTGACTGGATTAGCATTGAGTCGGTACCTTCACAGTTCGTGTTCTTGGCCGGTGATGGATTGCAGGTTTGTCCCATTCCCATATAATTAAATACCATCAACTACTTAGTTTTCAATTACCTTACACTAGTACTACTTAGCCGCTGAGGGTCTGCCGTTTCCAAGTTTGTGTCTCCTTCCGACGCAGCACAGACCCAAACGCCCCACCGTCGCTTGGTAATTCCTCCTCTTGCCGGCAGGTACTTCTATCAAGGTTCTAAAAAACGTTGGGCGCTAGTCGGACGGTAGGGAGGGCCTAGGCGGATTTATGTAAATTTATTGTATATTTTGTAAATAAGTGTCTATTTACACTTAAAAAAGAAAAACTATACTTGTATGGATAATAAAAAAATGATAAAATGCAAAAATAGAAGTAGAAGAATACACAGAATACATCCATCCAACAAGTTCAATATTTAAAAAGCAGTAAGCATATAATCATAATGAAAAGTATTCTTGGATGATAGACTAAATTCTTCTTGTTTATGATCTTTTGCATTAGATTGGACATACACTAGAAGTAATGATCTAATTGGTTATTTTGACTTGGTTCGATAAGGTATGGAGCAACGATAGAATAAAAGCTTGTCATCATCGAGTGAAGCATTGTGGAGACAAGACGAGGTACTCACTAGGGTTGTTTACATTCAACAACGGAAGAATACAAGTACCACAAGAACTGGTGGACGAGAGGCACCCACTGCTCTATAACCCACTTGACAGTCTTGAGTATATAAGGTTTCACAGTAGGGGTGAGGCCAGGAACTTAGTCTCTCCTGTCAATACCTTTTGCGGTGTTACAAATTCTGCAGCTTAATCTGCTGGACTGAGGAGGACTCAAACTTGATGCTGGATAAAAATATTATGGAAAAAAATAATACTGCGGTGTTAATAACTAATAAATGTACTATCAAGCAGGAATCTTTGTTGTTAATTACTTAATGTCCAGGTGCATTAGCATGTGCTTAAGTTGTGGAATTTCACGGCTGCTTCCTTCCAAGCCCAGAACACTCCAACTATCTATGTGTAATAAAGCATTCAACTTTGGCTTTCTTCCATTCCAAGAATTATTGTGTGGTTGAGCACGGTTCCCCGTGACGAGAACATTTCATATGCTCATTTTACTTTTCACACACTTCTTAAATTTTCAGCCGTCAAATTCAATGAATTGAAGAAGATTAACGATAAAAAAATTAACAAGGGACTGTGAGAAGTAAAACTAGGTGTGCGAATAGTACTATCCCAAGCAAAAATACTTTATATATAAGATATTAGATTTAGTTTGCAAGGACCCTTTTGAAATCGAATTTTTTGTGATATGTATATGTAATGTCCTTTTTGTAAGGGGAGTTTTAACGAAACACTCCTGGTACTGTTCACTTTTAACAAAAATGATATTTTTACACTAAAATGTCACTCCTGATACTATTCGCTTACAACACCTTTTTGTTCTTTTGATTAAAACTCAAAGTTTTCAAGTCATTTTCATTATTTTTTTTTATTTTTTTATTTTTTTTAAGGGCAATGTCACTCGAAAGAAAGAACAAAATAATTCTATTAGAATTTGGTGTACAATGAAACGACCTGTAAAAGTATGGTTTCTGTTTGAATACATTTGTATATGATGGGAAACGGAGGCCAAAGTGATGATCCAATATGCAAAGAGGATATGGTGGAAGAGCTTGAAGAAATAATTGTACCCATGAGAATTCTATTTTGATTCAAGAAGGGATACGAGTGACAAACTTACAAGTGATCCACCTTGAAACTCAAGGTGTGGATATAAATTAATTGAAAAATATGATGAAAAATCCACAACCGATCAATGTGGAATTAAATTTCAAGATTAACTGAACAAGCAAGTTTGGGGTGCAATAGTCGTCAGTCAAGAAATAATTAAATTATAAAGTTGAATATTCCAATTTTACTTATGATTTTGATTTCATGATTGTAAAATCTCGACACTCCTTAAGTTGAAGAATTTATTTGCTGATCAAGCTACTTGTCTACTTATGATCAAATTCGGTTCAAGGAGAACTCGAGGTCAAGTTCTTTACAAGTGAAAGGGGTGGGAGTGGATTTGGTTCATTTCGGTTCGGTTTTTTGTCACATCCGAAAATAAAATGAAATTAGTTATTCGGTTTGATTTGGTTTTTTCAAAATTTAAATGATAAACCGAATTAATTCGGTTTGGTCCAGTTTGATTTTAATTTTTTTTATTCATTCTTTATATTTTAATTGGCTTGCCTAAGTAAATATCGGAGGAAATGTTGGCTACTATTTTATCACAGCATCAAGCTAGCAACAAGAAGACTAAGCCCATGTGAGTGTTATTGTGACATCCCACATCACCTAGGGAAGTGATCCTTAAATGTATATTTCCATCCCTACCTAGCACGAAGCCTTTTGGGAGCTCATTGGCTTCGGGTTCTATCGGAACTCCCAAGTTAAGCGAGTAGCGCGCGAGAGCAATCCCATGATGAGTGACTCACTGGGAAGTTCTCGTGTGAGTTCCCAGAAACAAAACCGTGATGGTATGCTGGGGGTTCAAAGTGGACAATATCGTGTTACGGTGGAGTTGGCCGGGAAAGTGGTCCCGCCCGGACCGGGATGTGACAGTTACTGTAATGTTTCAAACGTGATGACGTTTTGTGAAAACTTGATAAACTTAAAGGAATATTTATGTAATTAACCTGTTCAAAAAATAATTCCATTAGCATTTGGCGTACAATGAAGCGACCTGTAAAAATATGGTTTCCGTTTGGATACATTAGTATGATTAAGGATGGGAAATGGAGGCCAAAGTGATGATCCAATATGCAAAGAGGATATGGAGGAAGAGCTTGAAGAAAAATAATTGTACCCATGAGAATTCTATTTGAATTAATATTCAAGTGGATTCAATTATTTATTTTTTGAATATATTCGGTTTGATTTGATTTTCTCAAATTTTAAACGATAAATCAAATTAATTTGGTTCAATTTATTTCAGTTCGATCTGGTTTGATTTTGGATTATTTTTTTTTTTTTTTTAATATTTTAATTAGCTTGCCAAAAAAAAAAAAGGTAAATTGGATGAAGAAAACTACATCAAAGTCGAATCTTAGGGGTGATCGGAGGAAACGTTGCATGCTCTTTCGTTACAGCATCAAGCTAGCAACAAGACTAAGTGAGTTTTATTGTAATGTCTCAAATTTGAAAACGCGAATATTAGGGGTGATCGGAGGAAACGTTGCATGCTCTTTCGTTACAGCATCAAGCTAGCAACAAGACTAAGTGAGTTTTATTGTAATGTCTCAAATTTGAAAACGTTTTGTGAAAATTCGATAAACTTTGAAGAATATTTATGTAATAAACTGTTAAAAAAATATTACGAAATATTTACGCACTCATTGCAAAGTTGCTTATGACAACGAAAAAGTCTTAAAATAAGTTAGAATCAACTAAATATAAAATGAGAAAATTTTTAAAGTGTTATATGAACTTATACAGTTATTTCATTCTATCTTATAAACTAAAATTTTAAACGAAATGTCATATCAATTTTCCAAAAATAATAATTTGCCATTTTGCTCTAACTAAGTTATTTGTTCAAAATTAAGTCATGTTGTTCAAGATATTTTGAACTTTTGACCTTCTTTCAATTTCATTTCATTGCTCGTCACGAGCATTCAATTAGAAAATCCATTCCGAGCTTGAAATTTTCCATTGTTTTAGAGGATAATTATATTTTAAGAACATGTGTAATAGTTTACGAGAACTATATTGTTCAGCATGTCGTTGTCTTATGTTTAATGAAGCCTTGGTGCCCGGCATGTCATCAGTTATTAGTCACCAACACGAGTTCCTACTTTGACAATTTATTTCAATATAATTCAAAAATGTCAGTTTTGTTGTGACCTAAATCTAATCGGAGAAAATTTAACTAAAATTATAGAATTACGAATTTCTTTTTTAAAGTACTTTGAAGTATACGATGCTCTTGAGTTTTAACTATTAAATATTAATATATATATATATATATATATATATATATATAATGTTAAAATCTAACGATTAATAGATTTGGAGTATTCTACTCTGAGCATCATAATTTTTTTTGTCAAATTGGTTATTTATGTTTCTAACTAATTGGAACGATTTATATTTGTGTTAGCATGTAATGCATCTTCAAGTTCTTGTCAAGTAATGTTCAGCACAAACCTAACGTACAATGACCGAAATGTGCTGCAGATAAGGATTGTTTGACAAAAGTGATAATCTTATGCTTTTCACAGTAGGCCAAAAAAAGTGAGTGCGATATTAATATATTGTCATCATAAGAATCACACTTCTACAGTATGACGAAATATTTGAGTGTGATATCAATATACTAAACTTATGAGCGTAATATCAATATATTGTACTCACACTTGCGTAGGAGTAGATAAATATCAAACTCAGGTTGTCTAATCCATATATTTAGTTTCCACACTCGCTCAAACTATTGTGGAAAGTCTTATCACAATTTGCATACCACCTTTTAAATAAAGGTAAAACCTACTTGTATTGATGAGATCTATATCTATTAGAAATGTGATACAAATGTGGTAAGTGCACTATTACTCAGACGAGTCAAGTTTTCATCCTACAAAACTATAATTTAGAAGAATGCAAGACTCCACAGCCGTGTACAAGTTATGTGTAGAATTATGTTTTTACCATATGTTTTTTATTCGAGCCCTCCGAGATTATCTATTTCTATTAGACTTTTTATGCGGAATTGAAAGCGAATTCCAACAAAGTACTAAATATCAATGTTGTAGGCGAAAACGAAGAAGTAAACAATCTCAAAATAAGAACATGAAATTTAACGTGGTTTGGCTAAAGCCTACGTTCATGGGCAAAGCACGGCCATAAATTTCACTAAACAAACAGAAATTACAAAATAATGTTAAAACTCTCACAACCCAAATCCCACAATTACAACCATAAACAAAATGAGTAGAGAACCCAATAACAAACAAAAAAGATTCTCGCAAATTGTAATTGCCAAACGAATGAGCCATAAATTTACCATACTCAAGACCTTAAACGGTGACCTCCACCCAAAGCTCAACCAGAGAAAACTTTCTAAACTAATGGCGAGGCACACAAAATAAACCAACTTTAAGCTCCTACTTAGAGTGCATAAGACTTAGGTAATTAAAACCCAAATCCTAATCAAATAGGTGATTGACAAAATCTCTCCACCAAGCAAGGAATCCAACTAAAAAAGTCAAATTCAAACCCAAATAGGACATCAAAACGAAATAGGTAATTAAAACCCAATTTTTACATAACTACACTTTTTTTTTCCTTTACCTTTACTTATTGAACATTTTGATGGATGAAGAATGTCGAGCATATGGGTTTCGGACTTGACAAATAAAAATGTGCTACTTTAACCAAGTTTAGTATAAAGGGGGTTGAGCTGATTTGCCTTTGCATTCACCGCACAGTCACGGGGCCGCCTTGTTTCATCTTGATGAGACTGCTCTCAATGTTTAGCACGAAACTTACAAGAAATGGAAGGAGGGAAAGAGGGAGCGGGAGCTTACAGGCGTGCAAGCCCATTGTATGCTTGGGTGGCTTGTTGGAGTCGTGCAGAGAGCTGCAATACTTCAGCTGATAATGCCTCTGCTCTCCTCTGTTCTTTCGCGAGTTGATCCTACGAACAAAGACACAGAGAAAATTTAAAAAACGATGCCAATTAATGAAAGCTAAATAATCCCCATCCTGAATCTTCAACAAAACAAAGAACCATGGAAAGTTTCAAACAATAGAAGTTTTTTCATACCAAAAAACGAAACTATGAAATAAACGTTTTTCTGCTAACAGACTAACCTTGATGGAGAGAACTTCAGTTGTATATGCAGCTGAACCAGTATCATTGGCCCTGCCATCATGGGATTCTAACAACCCCTTAGCCTGTTCTGTTCTCAACTTATCTAAAGAAGCTCTTCGTTATGCTTAAGACAGTTTTTCACCTGCAAATTCACATGCCAAAAAATTAGACGTTTTACAAAAAGCAAAAAGCATAGTAAAGCGTAAGCTGTCCATGTCCTGTTGGCAACTGTTTCAGTCTATCTAAGCAGAACAAAAGCAAGAAATTATTACAAAAATGAATACAGGGTAAGTGTACAGATAGCCAATAGTACCTGATTCTCCCAGTGCGCTGATATGCTCACCGTTTGCTGATAAGAATTCGAGAGATCAGAATTTTCCTCGAAAAGCCTTCTATCTCTGAAGATTGGGAATCAATCTGCCACCATGTACAAAAAGTGAGTTTGCTGTCAAAAGACAAAACCACCACCAAAACAAAGTTTCTTATTGGAGTTATTTAAGAGAAAGTGTTGCAAGGATAACCTTTATCAAAAGTTTTTGTCTACTGCTTTCCAATTTCTCTATCACTACCGCCATGTCATGCAACTGCTGCTCAAGTTTCTCCTTGTCTTCCTGGACATTAGTGCCCCGTAAATAAATTTATTATGGAACAACAAGAAAGAGAGGAGGTAGAACTAATGAGCCACACTCATACTACGTAATACAGTAATAGTACAATGCCTCCTGAGAGGAACTCATTACGTTCCTCCCTCCTTGTTTTCCTCCCTATTTTCTTTGGCATATACATTATAATCATACACCTGACAACGATAAAATCTCTTGAACCAGGTCATCAAGAAATTAACTTACAAGAGCAAATTCCTTGCCAGCCACTTTCTCCGAGATTTCTGCAGTGCATGAACCAGGGGTAACAACATGGGATCAACGTTCATAAGATCTAACTGTTTTGTAAAATGCTTATGCAGGAATAAAAACATGAAAGGCCAATACAACAATAAGTATGGACAGAAGGATAGAAGGGAACTGGGGAATTATAACACGGTAGAAGGCATCAGAATAAACGTATCTACTTGAAACTGAAAGTGCAAAAGGGGTTCCAACTGCAATTCCAAAGTACCCTGAGCCCGTGAACCGCCAAGGGATATAGGTTATAGATGTAAACATGGGTATAGAGGAAGTATGCATATTATGATGAATATGAAAATGAGAAGAAAAGCTATGATGGAAGCTGTTTTGGAATCGATGTCCTGTTGGAGGAAAAAGTTAAGCCAACAACGGCCAATTCGTTTACTTTTCTTGACCAACAGTGTTTTAGGTACAATTATTCCTTTTGTTCCACATCACTACGTGCACCCCAAGATTTATAAGAGGCTTCCTAAAGTATTCAACCTTTTTGTACCTTGAAATCTGAAAAGATTTTCTCTGAAATTCCTTATGTTGTTGAAATGTATAATTGGTAGATTTGGTACCTGAAGCCTTTCTAGGCATAGCTGCAAGTTTTTCTTCCAATTCTTGCTTTTCAGATGTAAGCGTGGATGCCCGAGCTTGCTCCTCTGCTAATTGTTGTCGCTCTTGTCGCCTCAAGTGTGACTCTTGCTACAATAAATTTACCACAGTTAGACACCTATAAACAAACACCAGATGTGAAACTACAAAAATTCCAATAAACAAATTATCACCTGCAACGCAGATTTTAAGCTAGCTGACTCCTTTTCTAACATTTGTATCTGATCTGGTGAATTAGAAATTGAGTTCATTGCACCAAGTGAACCACTCATTGCTTGTTGCTGTAACATATTCAGTTCTGCTCTCAAAGCGGCTGTGTCTTCCTCAACCTGTTGCAAGACAAAGAGTGAGAAAACCATACAAATCTGTTGTTCCAGAAAGATCCAATAGAGAAACTAACTGCATACTTGATACTGTTCTTCTCTGCATCCTTTAACCGTTTCTTGAGCGTACGAAGCTGTGCTGAAAGATCGTCCTACACTAAGAAATCAAATTTTGACAGTGAAACAAAATAGAGAGAACCAAGTGAGATGAAACACCGACTAACATATAGATGGTCAGTAACCGTGCAACAACTGCCGCATCTTTCTCCATTGCAACATCTTTGAGAGCTTTTCTCAATGACGGTACAGTGATTTTCTCCAGCAATTTACAGCGAGTAGTAGATGAGAACAGGCTGAAAAAGTTAACTAGTAAAGCCCTTTTCTTTCCAATAGTTGTACATTCATTGTGAATCAATATCTCTAACAAATAACGGAATTACTGGCAGCTGAAAATTTTATACGGACCCTGAAATGAAAACATGACAGCAAAATATGGAAGACATAATCTTTACTGAAAGAAAAATGCAAAGAGATTTAAAAGGTGCTACATCTACCAGATCATTTAGACGTTTCTGCAGCACATCGCCCCAAGCTTCCCTTGTTTCAAGCTGAAACATCAAGTGCGTAAAAAATTATACACCATAAAATTGATCATCACCGAAAACTAACATCTTCGTAAAATGCAAACGAAGAATTAAACAAACAAACCACAGAAACAGAAGTCCTACCATGGAAGCCAAGTTTTTGTTTTGCTCCTCCAATTCCGCATTCTTCTTCTCCAAGTTCTTTATCTGAGCAACCAAAACACTAACTGTCTATCTGCACCAGCAATCATATTTACATGAGAATTTAAACTGAAATTGTCTCAGCAACCAAACACAAAACTCAAAAAACAAATTTCAGAAAAAAATTCTTTTGTCAACAAATAATGAATCCAGAAATCAGCTCCTACCTCAGAAAGCCGATTCGCGCTCTCCGATTTTCACATTCCTACATTATCTGCGCAATCAAAAACTTCATCAGAAGCATAAAAATATCAAATTCAACCGAAAACATTATCGAAAATAGATGACGAACCGATAGGGATGGAGGCTTTGCTGAGATCAGGTCCGGACGAAGTTTTGCTCAATTTTTCTGCAGCTCGCTTTTGGCCAATTTCTTCCAACTGATAGAAATTTAAATGAAATGAACAAAATTGAAGGAGAATATTTAATTTCGGATTCAAATATTCAATAGAAAAGGAAAGCAAACGGTGGCGATGAGAACTGTACCGTCCGTCAGCCGAGAATTGCGTGGCGGGAGTCCATGGCGGAGCGAAGGCGAGGTAAGGACGGTGATTCCGGTCTCGGCCGCTCTCGCTGCAGCCTCTGCATGGCGGTTTCTCTGTGTGATGGTTTAGATACGGTACAGAGGGAGAGAGCGGTGGCTGTGAAGATCGTTTCTAACGGTCAGTAGGCCCATTCCGTTATTTCTGTTATGTTTTATTATACAAGAGGAAAAAATAAATTGGTTACGAATCTAGCATTTATAAATTTAAATTTAAAATACAAGTAAGAAAACAAAATTTTTATAGTGTCAAAAATATTTTTAATACAAATATATATTCAACAAATTTAGACTAAGATCATTTAAATATCATTAGATTCGTGAGCTAAGTATGATTAAAAAAAAAAAAAAGTAAAAATTATAGTAATGATATTTTAATTTTAAACTAATTGGAGTAATGATTTTTTAACTAAAAAATTTATGATCATTGGTCTCTTTATTTATCAAAACGTGCTGTTACAGTCCTTTTTGTCAATTCCGCTACAACTTTTGTCAAAATGAATTATGTGTCACACGTGAGACTGAATCAAGAAATAAAGATGAAAAACTAAATGAGAAAAATTTGCAACAATAGTCCCTCAATTTTAACTCAATTGATGAAATAATCAATCAAAATCAAACTTCAACTTGTTTCCAAGTTAGAAAAATCTCCAAATCTTTCCTCCAATCAATTTGGAGGAGTTTGAGATTACCGTAAGAATTGAATTAACCACTGATTTCGTCCTGATTCCATTGTCTTCAACGGAAGCTAAATGCCGTTGCCCCCAATGATTGACGGGAGAAAGTGTCTGACTTGGACCACAAATGACGACTGAGTTTCCATGTAGGTAAAACCCTAATTATTTCAATTCTCAAATCTCTCCCTATTGATTTCATTGACCATTTCTAAAGCTTGAGATCCCAAGAGAGAGGGAGCCCCGTCATCAAAAGCTCTACTTTTCTCTCAGATTCTCAGGTACTCCTTCATCGTTCCCAATGGATCTCTCTTCCTTCGTTTTGTTTTTCGATATTTTTATTGGGTTTTTTTGGATTCTTTGATTTGCTTTTTGAAGTGGGTATTATGATCTTTGTGTTCATTTTTGTTATATGATTGTATTGGATAGTGGTAGTTTATGGAATTTGAAATTTTGGGTCTGTTAGTTTAATTGGGTGTGTTGCAAAGTTGGATGCTTGGTGTTCAACTGGGGTTGAGATGATTGATTCTTCTCGAATCAGAAACCGGCCCGAATTTCAGGTTTTTGGGTTCTTGGTGCAGCACATAGAGGCATTAGATTGTAGAAAAAAAAAAGGTATTACCATTTTTTGGGGTCCAACACGATGGAAGGGTTAGGGAAATTAGTTTTAAGGTGGCTCTTGATGAAATTCCAAGGTTTCTAATTTTTCTACATAGAATGGAAGGATTAGACTGTTCTTCTTCATCCAATAATTAAATGCGTAACGGTCATACACATGGTTGCACACACAGTGAAACCAAGCGAACTGAACCCGAGAATATCTAAGCTAAACAATTCCGTACTAGTAACTAAACTCAGAGAATTTAATTAAAGCTTAATTAAAGTTGTTGCATCAGTTATACCAGTTATACCAGTCGACCAATTCCAATTAGCTTCTGCTGAAGTGGTCTTTGAACTGGAATATGACTTGGCTCTGAGCAGCTTTGGGCCAGCTCGATCTTCTGCGTGCTCGCTTGCGCAGCTGCTTTGTTTTGCTGTAAGTTGACGTAGCACTCTATTATCCTGAGCTTGCTTAATATATGTAAATAGGCCTCGATTTAGCTATAAAACTGAAATGCGTCATCTGCTTTTAAAATCAATGACTGCACATTAAACAGAGGAAAAGACATTATCTAATACAATCTTATAATGTGCAATGAAAACCATTTGGGAGTGGTGCAATGTTATTGAGTGAACTACATGGACAAGGGGAATGTAAAACAGATACGATGAGGATGCAGATTGTTGTGTCGTTGCGGTGAGTTGATGCACAGTTGTAGCCTGAGATGGATTTGGATAGTCAAGTAATCCTTGGAGCTGATGCTAATAATTTAGCGTTTGAAACTAACTTCTAATAGTTTCGTATTTGAAACCAAGTTTTCTGAATCTCGAGTTCCGAATGTCCAAAAGATCAATTTTTTTTTTTTTTACTTTATGTAAACTTCATAACATAACATATGACTTATCATCTCTGAATGAACGCGATTAATCAATCATATTACTGAATCTCTTCATCAGATTTTCTTTTCTTTTTAAAGAAATTAACACCGCCACTTTTCTGAAGCAGATGGAACATGAGAAGGTACCCTTTACGAGAACAGAGTCTCAGGAAATTGAGATCCCAATAGTCTCTGAAGGTATAGATGCTCTTCCTGTGCCACCACAGGTGCCTCGCTCCTTGTGTGTCTGTGTTTTCTCCAAAAACGAGCACTGTAGTTTGGATTCGAAACATGCGGTCAAAGTCAGCTACAAAACTTTCTGTACTCGTTGTTGCATCTCTCATGTTTATGGTTGTTGAATTATTGGTGGTGTCAAAGCCAACAGCCTTGCAGTACTCACAGATGCAGCCCACTTGCTCACTGATGTTGTTGGATTCTCCATTGCTCTTTTCACAGTAATCGCTTCAGGTTGGGAGGCAACATCGTACCAGTCTTTCGGATATCACCGTCTTGAGGTTTTGAGTGCCCTTTTCTCTGTGCAGCTCATATGGCTGGTCTCTGGGATCTTGATCTATGAAGCAGTTGACAGGATCGTTCACACTAAGGAAAAGGTGAACGGGTTACTCATGTTTTCAGTTGCCGCATTTGGGTTTCTTGTCAACTTAATCATGGTCGTGTGGCTTGGTCACGACCACACCCATCATGCATGTGGAGGCTTAGGTCACGATCATCATCATGATCATCATCAAGTTCATACTCACGATCATCATCATGGCCATAATCACGATCATCATCATGGTCATGATTATCAGGAGGAAGAAAGTGCAATAATGGAGGACGATAAAACGAGTCTGGTGTCATCCACTTCTCCAGAAAAGACTAAAATATTAAACATAAATATCCAAGGAGCTTACTTGCATGTCATCGCCGATATGATTCAGTCCGTTGGGGTGATGGTCGCTGGAGGCATCATATGGGCAAGGCCAGATTGGTTAGTAGTTGATCTCATCTGCACGCTCATATTTTCTGTTTTTGCTGTTAGCACAACTATATCGATGCTTAAAAATATATATGGCATATTGATGGAGGGAACGCCAAGCGAGATTGATATCGCCGGGCTAGAAAAAGGCATCAAGTGCATCAAAGGAGTTCGGGATGTTCACGACCTACACGTTTGGGCGCTAACGGTTGGAAAAACTGTGTTGTCTTGCCATGTAACGTCCGAGCCTGCCGTAAGCACTAGTCAGATAATTGACAAGATTAGGGATTACTGTGAAAGTACTTACAGAATACATCATGTAACTATACAGATTGAACAGTAGACTACAGATTCAAACCATCATTTTGTTTGATATTATTAAATCCTACCCCTTCCCCCTTTAAAGTTTAGCACTAATCATGTTGACTTCTTGGGCAAGCGATTAAAATTTACGCATCCAGATGTCTCAAAGAATTCAATACGTTTTACCACAGTGGCGGAAAAACAATCATGCTTATGCAACCTGATGTTGGTTCGATTCCCACTGACTTCCCTCCTGCCTAACAAAAAACCTAATCCTAATCCTTATCGATTCAACGTTCCAAGGCTAGTTCACGAACTGTGCGATCCCAAAAAAATACATGCACGGTGAAAATGCCAGCACCAGGAGAAACCACAAGCGATCCCAAGAGTGAGGGCAACAGAAAGAAAAGGGAAGGCTGCAGAAATGAGTCTATAACGATATGACAGCGGGCATCGAAGCTTTTAATAAAATGGAAGAAGCAACTGAGAAACGAAACTCGAAAATCCAACTCCGAACAAACAAGGCTTCTTCTGTTCCATTGATTCTTTAATTTGAGATGCCAAGTTCCACCAGACATTCCAAATTTCAGTAGTTACACTTGATAAAAAGCAAACATATAACAAATGGTGCATCAGAAGTAAAAGCGGGCACTCAAAATGTATCAATACTACTGTCATTTTAATTTTCACAAAGCTTCCTTATCACAACTCGACGAATTAAACCTGTATTCTACATGCCTCCCTGTCACCCGAAAAAAAGAAACTCAAGAGAAAAATCAAAAGGGCTGGCAACCAGCAAATAATTTCCACAACTCTCCCTAGGTGTCATCTTTTATGTCGAGCAGCAACCTCTCTTCGTATTCCCAGAAGCATCACCAACGTTGATGGTGGTTCCTTGACCAGGTAGGGTAGTTGAGACTGTTTCTTGGGCTGCCAGTGCTTTTTTGCTGACGATATGGTAGATCTCGGTTAGAATAGTTTGAAATGCTTTCTCAATGTTGGTTGCTTCCAGTGCAGATGTCTCGAGAAATGAGAGACCTTCCCGCTCAGCCAACGACTGACCATCGTCCTCTGAAACAGCTCTGAGATGGTTCAAGTCAGACTTGTTTCCTGTCATCATGATAACAATGTTCGAATCTGCATGGTCCCTCAACTCACGGAGCCACCTTTGGACATTCTCAAAAGTTGGTCGCTTAGTTATGTCGTAGACAAGGAGAGCACCCACTGCCCCTCTATAGTAAGCACTGGTGATAGCACGGTATCGCTCCTGACCTGCTGTATCCCAGATCTGTGCCTTCACAGTCTTTCCCTCAACCTGTAATTTCAGAAAAGGAAGAGTGTAAGCATTACATCAGATTGTAAGCCATAATTCGTAAACAGACTTATTTCTACTCATCAACATATTGAACGGTATGCTACAATGACAAGTGACAACTGCATGTTTGAAACTTGTAAACATGCTCTGGGACCAGTGGTCCAGTCGACACCTTTCATATTTCTGGAGAAACTTCACATTCAATCGAGCCATGATGTTTCAATTCTCAGTTGTTTGTACAACCGGGGAAGAAAATGTAGTTCTTTCTTCAACTATGCCATATTCATATAGTTGAGCAACTTATCTGGCAAAACCACATTCATAGTTGCCTACATATACAAAATTCAATCAATAGGCAGTATGACACACACAAGAAATCTAACTAACCAACAGTCTTTAAAAACGATAATATTGGGCAGTTAGTTAGTACAACAACAACAACAAAGCCTTTTCCCACTAAGTGGGGTTGGCTATATGAATCCTAGAACGCCATTGTGCTCGGTTCTGTGTCGTGTGGGCAGTTAGTTAGTAGTTGCGTTTAATTAAGAATCAAACTTAAGCGTCAATATGTAAGTGCTCAGTAATCAACTCCTCTTTCTTGAACTCTGCAATCCGTCCTTAGTGTGTTATATAAACTTAAAGATCAATAACAGCAAAATGATCAAACTCCTGGAGACAGAATCTACCAGCCAGTTTTAGTGTAAAGTAAATCTCCTGTTCCGTCAAACAAAAAGACGACTATTTATCCCAACGGTTCATCATGCTTATTTAGCCATTGATAACCATCTAAAAACAAAGTACTAAAAAGAGAATTCGAGCCTGCTTACCAGTCTATTAGTAACAAATTTTTGATGTACTCCAATTAAACAACGTAAATCCCTAAACAAAATCCAAACAATCATCACAATCTCCAGGCCACCAAACAAAACTTCAACCAAAATAATTCAAACTCTGAAACCCCCCGAAATTTAAACCGCATAGGATCCAATCCATCACAAACAAATACCGCATACACTGCGAACAAAATCAAACAATTGAAATACAAATAAACTCTCTCACCAAGATTAAACTCAGTAAGTGAACTTGCCTGGAGAGTTCGGGTGGCAAACTCGACTCCGATAGTGGATTTGGACTCCAAGCAGAACTCATTCCTGGTAAATCTAGAGAGAATGTTAGATTTGCCCACACCAGAGTCACCGATCAACACGATCTTGAACAGGTAGTCGTATTCGTGGTCTACTCTACTCGCCATGCCACCCTCTCTCCTCTCCTATCTCCACAACCTATACAAACATATACACAGACAAACAAATTCAAATCCATCAAAAATCACACAAATACACAAACAAATATCTCTCTCTCTCTCTCTCACTATAACCTATACATACACAAACAATTATATCTATAGATCTCGCTTACCCGGGGGCGAATCGACCGAGGAGAGAACGCGATCGGAGCGTTCGATCGGAGGAACCGAAGGAATTGGAGAGGGAAGCACAGTGGGGGTTTTGGGGAAGGAGAAAATGGGAAGAAACGGAGACAACGATGAGGGGATGAGAAGAGGGGCCTATTGAAAGTTTGAAACGGCAAATAAACAGATTCTATTTTTTGGTGGGCGAAACGATGGCGTTTTGGTGACAACTGGGAATTATTGATTCGTCTAGAGTGACAGTAGACAGCCTGACCTGGCTGGCCGTTGCCAGAGGGATGATTTAATTTTAAATTTTTTAAATTTTTTTTGTGATTTCCCACGCCGTAATTAATTAGTTAGTTAATTTGGATTTGTTTGCGGTTCGGACAGCCGCCAGAGCTAGAGTGGACGGTTGATTATTTCCAATCATGTGGATAAATTGTACGTGGATTACTTACGCTAGTTATTTATCTTTTGTTTTCTTAATAATATTGATGACGTTGACAGAGCATGATTAGGCCTCAAATTACAAATTAATGTGTATAACATCTTGATTCTGATTGATTCATTTTAAGCTCAATTGATACAAATTAGCTTTTTACCTAGCCTTGCCTACACTACCGGGTTTTATACCTCTTATTTCAATATTGATGATCAATCTGAAATTAATTACTTTTGCTATCTACAATGTATGACGTAACTAAATATAATGTATAAGTATAGATTGTTTTAGGGAAGAATGCATAGCTTAGGCTTTATTTGAGTGTGTGTAAAGTAATGAAAAATATGAATGATGTTTTGAATCATTCCAATAATTTAGTTACGTTTCATCATTGGATGTGTGAGTGAGTAATCATACACTCATGTCAGGTCAAAAATGTAATAATAAAATCATACAATTATTTAGGTGCCTACTCATCAATTTTCTGAATATTGCCACCAAAATCATCACGTTGACTTGTGTATGCATCAATATCTTCATGATTTGGGTGGTAAACCAATATTTCTCTATACAAAATGAGTATATAGTTTGACTGGTTAAGAGCTTTTATTTTTGTATTTTGAACTTCGAGCTTATGCTTTCAAAATTCGAGTTCCTCATCTCAACACTGCTTATGACCAAAAGTGTAGTTTTTTATTTGAACAGACAATATTATCAATATTAAGGATGAGGGGGTGAGGGTGGGGGTGGGTTAAACTTTACAATGAGCTGGTAATAATGTAGTTCAAATTCGCCTTTGGTGAGAATCGAACTTAAGATCTCTCATTTATAAGTGAAGAAGAATATCATTATACCATAATACTAAGTGGCAAAAAAACATGTTAACTTACAAATAATTCAGATAAATGCTAATGAGACTCTTTTAAAACCAAAACTCTCCATGAACTATTTGTTACCTCATTTGCACAATATTTTATAATATTGACAGAAAAATTAATCGTGAATGATAGAAAATTCATAAAGTATTTTACTTTGAAAGAGAATCTCCTTAGCATTTCTCAATAATCCATCCAAAATGCAGTCCACTAACACAAATTGAGGATCAAAGTGGAACAACCACTAAAAGTGAGGGGCACAAATTGTAATTAGCTAAGATCCTATTCGGAACCGATGCCTGGCAAATATTGATGTTGCCCTCCTTCCTACGTTGCTTGCTGCTCCCAGAAAATCCATCTCTCAGCTTCTACTGCAAAGATGAAGAAGGAAGACACAGTGAAGCTGATCAGCGCAGAGGGGTTCGAGTTCGTGATCCACAAAGACGCCGCCATGGTCTCTCAGACCATCCGCAACATGCTCACTTCTCCAGGTATTAGGGTTTAAAATTGATTTTAGTGGAGCAGCAATTTGGGGACTAGGGTTTGAAATTGCAAGGTGAAATCTTTTTTTTGTTTTTTGTTGGTAGGGAGTTTTGCTGAAACGGAGCACGGCGAGGTGACGTTCCCGGAGATCAGCACCCCCATTCTTGAGAAGATCTGCAAGTACTTTTACTGGAACCTTCAATATGCCAGGTTCAGATTCTCTCTCTTAATTTATTTTTTGTTTAATTATTTAAATTTTAAATTTATTCGCTTTTGATATAATATTTGAGTTATTTACATGTCAATGCTTAGAAGATTGATGGGTTTCTTCAGAATTGGAATTTATATTGATCGATGTGTAAAGTTAGTGGGGTTAATGTTCTCTAGACTGTCTTGTTGCTAGGCTGTCATTGTAGACCTTACATTCGAACAAAAACGCGGTCACCCAATCAATCGTTTTTGGATCAGCCGCCCACTCAAGGGTTAAAGATTAATAATTTGACATAGTTTGTTTTATAGCATATTAGGTTCCAAGACAGTTTGCTTATATATTTTCCCTCATTCGTCTGTCTGCATTTTGGTTGGTAGACAGTCTAGCATAATATGGGACAGTCTACTAAATACGTGATCGGTCTAGCATAACAGGGGGCAGTCTACCATAGTGCGAAAGAGGGTGTAGCATGTTATCTCATCAACACACTTGCGCCCTACTTGCTAAATTTCATGTTTTTCGTTCCTTGCTTTATTTTGTGTTGTTTAAGATCTTTCTTAGAACTTGATTTCTTATTGGTAATACTGGATAATTATTAAATCAATGTGGAGGTCTTGTGACATAACTCAGGGAACATAAAATGCCCAAAACAGAGGAGAAAAGACGGTATAAGAAGTAGATTTTCTAGGTTCACATACCTTTTCTTTTGGTATCAGGTCTACGTACTTGATTTATATGTTTTTGTTTGTTCAATAATGGACTTGGAGACGGGACAATCAGAATATTTTGCGTATTGTCTGTTGCACCATTTTCTATTGTGGGCTTTCTTATCAAGATATCGATAGATGTTTTAATTAAACATGGTTGTTTGTTGGAACTAATCAAATCCAAGTGCTTGATCGGAAGGCCAGTTTTCATTTACACTTGTTTCCCCTATTATTGACTTGTAATTCTACTCTTTTGACAGCGGGAAGCAGACCGAGTTTCCTATTGAACCTGAATTGGTTCTGGAGTTAATGATGGCAGCCAATTATCTCCATACATGATTGCGACATTTCTCTCTCGGGCAACCAGATCGAATTTGACATGTAAGAAAACTTCTTGGAATCTCTTCCTGACACACACGTGCCTGTTTAAATCTTTATTGATCATTTTTCAGTTTGGTTTAAATCACATTTGTTTCTGTTCATGTATTTGGTCGCCTCTAGTGATTGCCGAGGAGGATGTGCGAGGATGATAGTACCCGAGATTCTGAAAGGGCTTGAAGAGCATACGAAATCTGCATTGGTTTCAAGCTCTGGAATCTGCAAATGTAGTGTGTATATATATATATGTGACACTCTGGTAGCCAAATTCTTGTAGTTATGAGATATTGTAATATCAAAAAACGGCAGTGATTATTCTCAATTAGAGAAAACCCGAGTCGAATAGTTTTATAAGTCTTTTCTGTGTTTACCGTATTCTCAGAGCTGATGTAAGTTGTGCTTTTTGATGAATGGCATAGTAATCAGCTTCCTCTTGAACGACACCGCCCAGTCATCATATTTCACTATTGCAAGGGCCTTCGGTGGACTGCAAGGGCATCGGAAAGAAAGGAAAGTGATATTCACACAACCTTTGGTCGACTTCAAGGGACCAAAACAAGGGAAAAGCGTGAAGGAGAAATTAGGAGTATGAAAATCACTACCGAAAAGAATCCCTAGTGCGTGTATGCCTTTCCAAGTACGAAAATCACTCCCAAACGATTATTAGACTCTCTAATTGTAAAAACGTGTGCTCTTAAAAGAAATATCGTAGTTCACAACCCAAAAAAATAATTTAATGTTGCCTGAATTGTGGCAAACTTTACTTGGGTCTAATCAGTGATATATTTTTACCACGATGAGTTTTGTAGAGAAAGAGTTACATACAGAGACGAGAATTTATCCTGGTTGCATGTAAGACTCTCCCATTAATTGTGTGCACGCTTCTTATTCCATAGAAATGAAGAATTAGATTGTGCAGAAAAACTTGGCTTATACTAAAGCTCAGCTGCACATGATATAATGGGTTTGGTGCAGTAATTGCTGGTTGATTGCCGTTACTGAGTCCCTCTCTGCATGTCTTCCAGGTTATCCAAAACCAAGCTTTCAGTTGCAACAACTTTTAAGTTTATCTGGTGCCTTAATTCAAGAAAAGCTGGATGCATTGATTGAGAGAACAAGCTGTTATTAAATAGTCGCAGTATATATTAAGTCCTCGTCGGCCATGAAGTTTTCCAGCACAGAAAAATGGCGAAAAATGGAGCTGTTCTATTGTATTGCGCTTTAGCGGTTTTTATGCTGGGCATGAGCTTGTTATGCAAGGCAACTGATGAGGATAGAAAGGTAAGAATCGTCAGTAAGATTTCAATGGTTCTTTATTTAAATAGTAAGTTTTTACTTGGAACGCGATGACGATGATGATGCAGGTTCATATTGTGTACATGGGGTCCCTTCCAGATGGGGAGTTCTCACCGGTGTCTCACCACCAAAGTATTCTGCAAAGAGTTGTCCAGGGAAGGTAGGTCGGTCTAGACCTTGAACTTACATTTTTTTGGTCTTTTTAGCCAAAACCTAGTTCTTATCCTCTCTCACTCTCTCAGTTCGCCGGAAAGTTTACTGGCAGTACGAAGTTACAAAAGGAGTTTCAATGGGTTTGCAGCTAAACTCATTGACAAGGAAGGGAAAAACTTGCTGGTGAGCACTCTGATATAATTTATTATGTCACTACAAAAGAGTAAAATGGTGTGTCACGAAAACTTTTTATTCTTACAAACTGTGTTGCAGATATGAAGGAAGTAGTCTCCATCTTTCAAGCAGATCATTCCAACTGCAGACAACAAGATCTTGGGACTTTATGGGTTTAAATGAGAAAATGAATCGAGACATCCTAGTTGAGAGTGATATAATTGTTGGGGTGATTGACACTGGAATTTGGCCGGAATCTGAGAGCTTTAAGACGAAGGTTTTGTCCTCCTCCAAAGAGTTGGAAAGGTGCTTGCGAAGGAGGCAAAAATTTCACTTGCAACAAGTAAGTTCCCTCACTTCTCATCTCTCAGTTATTGTAAAAATTTGTGAAAATGCTAACAAAAATTCACTTGCACCGTGCCAAATTTGGTAATGTAGTGTTGCTATAGCCTATGGAAATGGTATTTCGTGCCTATTGGCAGCAACAGGCACGCTTTTCCCTTCGTGTCTTCTGACCAGTTTTCGTGTAGTGTGTATTCACCATTTGGCAGTTGTAACATTGGTACTTGCCTCTGGCCCTTGCAGCAAGCTCATCGGAGCTCAATATTACATACCTGAATCTGCAAGGGATGATATCGGTCATGGAACTCACACAGCCTCTATCGCAGCAGGAAACACTGTTAAGGACGTGAGCTTTTATGGGCTAGCAAAAGGCACTGCAAGAGGAGGTGTTCCTGCAGCAAGAATTGCAACATATAAACTCTGTGATCATGATAAAGGGTGCAGTGCAGATTACATCTTGGCTGCTTTTGACGATGCTATTGATGACGGAGTTAACGTCATTACGATTTCATTTGGATCTGGTTTTGTGACTAGTTTTGATGAGGACCCTTTCACAATTGGTGCTTTTCATGCAATGAAAAAAGGGATACTGACCATACAGCCTGCAGGCAATGAAGGGCCTCAAATCGCTACTGTGTCATGCGTAGCACCATGGATATTGACAGTTGCAGCAAGTACCATAGATCGCCATATCATTGACAAAGTTGTTCTGGCAAATGGAAAAACACTTGTTGTATGTATCATGTACTTCCTGTCTCCCCGAAATATAGTTGTACTTGTTTATTTGATTCAGATATTCCGTTATTATTGATGTTTACACTTTTGCACAAACAGGGGATTCTATTAACACTTTCACATTAAATGGAACAAGTTTTTCTTAATACACGGAAAAGATGCTGCAGCGAAAGATTGATCTCGACAAGATGCTGGTGATTTTTTTGCCCTTTTAGTGTTTAACAAGAAGCAATATAATCTGTTAGTAAGTAGCTAAAGTACCGTCTTGTTGCATGTCAGATTTTGTAAATGTGGTTGCCTGGACAGCGATTCTGTTAAGGGAAAGATAGTGGTATGTGATGCTGGATACGGAGATACAACAGCGTATGATTCTGGTGCACTTGGTTCAATTTTACATAATGACAACACAGACGATCTTAGTCAAGTTCCCATATTACCTACAACAATGTTAACGATGGAAGAGCATAATGGGGTCAAATCCTACATAAACTCCACCAGGTATAGATTCTTTCTGGATAATCACAAGGCAATCGCCTTATCGTGATTGTTGTATTTACACGATTGTGTGTTTCTCTTAATTTATTGTGACCCTCGAGCGAAAATACTTAAAAGTGATGCCATAAAAGATCCTTCTCCACCTGCTGTCACTTCCTTCTCCTTGCGTGGACCAAATCTAATTTTGCCTGATATTATAAAGGAATAGGTTTCTTGCCACCTTCTGGTAAATCTTTCATAAAAATTTCATAGATACGGATAACTGCTTGTCTGATGTTTCGAAGCTGGATATTAGTGCCCCGGGGGCTGAAATTTTTGCTGCATATTCACCTAACGCTTCGATCACACAATTGGAAGAAGACAAGAGGCGTGTAAAATACAATATGTTATCTGGAACCTCAGTATCTTGCCCTCATGCTGCTGGTGCAGATGCATATGTTAAAGCATTCCACCCTGATTGGTCTCCCGCCGCCATCAAATCATCTCTTATGACGACTGGAATATATATTGTCATGATACAGAAATTGCTCATTTTGCACATTATGAATGACAAAATTCTGACATTATCTATTGAATTTTTTGTGTGCATGTAGCTTGGCTAATGAATGATACCAGCAACAACATTTCCACTGGTGCATTTGCTTATGGATTGGGACATATCCATCCTGTGAAGGCCGTAAACCCAGGGCTTTTGTATGAAGCTTGTGAAGAAAATTACATAACGTTGCTATGCATAATGTATAATGAAGGCAAAGTTAGACTCATATCAGGAGATAACAGCACATGCCAAATTTCACAGAAGAGTTAAAAATGTTGGCCTTCCAAACTCGATCTACAAGGCCAAAATATCGTCGGATTCCAGAATTGACAACTTGACATCAAAGTTGTTCCCGAAGTTCTGGCATTCGAGTCTCTGAATGAAGAGAAGACTTTTGATGTCACTGTTGTTGGAAATGATTTGCCAGATCGATCAAAAGTGTCTGGATCACTGGTTTGGTCTGATGGTGTCCACAATGTTAGAAGTCCAATTGTTGTTTATGCATTCAATGTAGTTGATGTAAACCTTTCTCCTCAAAGAAAAATAAATTGCACAAGTGCAAATACAGTCGTCCAAAACTGTGTAATAAAAGGGAAGCTCCCCTATTCGTACTGTTGAGGTAATGAAGGATTTCCAAGTTGCCTTGTCGATATTTCCTTTTTCTTCTCTTCTAATTCTAAATAGGGTCTTGGAATATCTGTCTGATGCGTGTAGGATTAAACCATTAGCTTTGATGAAAGTTGCCTTGCCACGGTCTTCTTGTTGTTGGAATTTCTAAGTCTGGACGTCCGCCCCCGGTGTTTTCTACCCCAATGGCAGCAAAACTGTTTGGGGGTGGAAATTATAACGTTTCTTCCCGATTTATTAATAACAACGCTTCTTTCACGTGATTTGCATTATCCGATCCGCTCATCCTTACAATTTGGTGCATATATTATTATGCTTTGTCTACTCTCATCTTCACAATGTACTTACTATGCAAGGGTCTTGAAGCAAGGCCACTTATGAGGATAGGAAGTTAAATCATTGGTTTACTACGTACTTAGGATCAGTGTGGTTTCTGGTTCCCTGTTAACCAACCCAAACTTCACTTATTCAATGTCTAATCTTCGATAAGAAAAAAAAGGGTTTTCCGAAATTTCCAGAGAAGAAGTAGCTTTGTATGAGTTGTATTTGAAATTAATGGAATATTAAACACGATATGTATACGACAAGTGATGCGAAATGAGAATTGAGGGGTTTGACAGTTCATCCCTAATTGATATATTATTGAGATATCATGCATGTTCAGATTACTAGTATCACATATTTGTTTTTCATATGTCATGAACAGGTACACAACCAGCTGATAAACGAGAAAGGTTTTACAACAGCTTTTGCATACTGTATTATTTATGTGACGGTTTTCATATCAGTTTATCGCAGAACATACTTTTCGAATTTGACCTTGTGTGCCAGTTTTCACATCAATGTTACTCATCTTCACCATGGACTTTCCGAACTCCATATAGAAGTTCAATCCCGAAGGGCCTTTACCACCTAGAAAACGTTGGACAAAGGGTTTTGTTGTAGCATCAGTCCATAGCATCTGATCGGACTCGAGAATTCCTCTGCCTT